TAAAATATTATATATCAGAGTTAAAACAATTCGTGTCTTCAATTCAAATATCAAGCGTCAATCCTTTAATGTTTGGATCATTCAACAGTTCATTTTAATTCCGGTTTTTTGTTTCTGTTTATTGTTAAGCCTTAAAGCCAGTTGGAAATTAGTCGCATATAAAAACATTAAGTTGGGAATTAAATGAGGAAAAAATGTAACTCACCAAGTTCTGTTCTGTCATTGTTCTACCATTCAACAAGTTCGGTGTGTAACTGCACCTGCGGCATCATGGAACAAAGACATTTAATCCTCGTAATTGATTAACGCAAAGTGCTCAAAAGTCTCCTGTAAAAGCTTGGAAATGTTCACACCTGAATTTGCTGTTTGCTTACGTGCAGGTATTAGAGCAAAGCTTCTTAAGTGTAATCACAAGTGATGTTCTCACAAAGCCCCAATCCCAATGTATAAATTAGTAACTAAGCGGCAAAGGAATAAAGGACACGTCAAATCCTTGCTAATTCAGTAAATTTTATAGTGTGTTTTTGTGTAAAATCAAATGAGCTCCGTAATTGAAATTAAATGCCGTCGAAGCTACTCGTCCTTGGCATGTGAGTTAGATGCGTATTAGGCTGGTCTTTACCTAATTTGATTTTCTAAACATTTTTATTAATTTTTTTTAATTTTTTTAACTAAAACAAAAGCACGAAAAGTTTTAACAATTTTGGCAATTTTATTCTTTCTCACGCAATTTAAATATTCCGAGCTGCGCCATGAATATTCAAAACTTTTGCCTTTCACAATCTAAAATTGATGAAGCGGTGAGGCATTTTTAATGGGATTTTGTACATTTCATCAGAGGAATGAGATTTTTATATTGTAATCAAATGTAGTAGGTATTTTCTGTTTTTTTTTTTTTTGATTGTTTAACATTGAATTGAATAGGAAAGTTTTCCCTGGAAGCGAGTTTTCTGAAACATCATATAATATTAATTGTGAAAATTTCAATTGTTTGAATTTGGAAATCACTTCTTTCAAATAGTTTCTTAAAAAAATTTTTATTTAAGAATTTATAATTGATTTTAAATAACCTTAAGAACTTTATTTAACCTTGTTAGAAAGTTATTTAAATTTTCTTAAAAACCTTATTAAGGAATATTAATAATCTCGGTTTAAATCTTTTTGCTTTCAAATCACTTGAATCATTTTATTTGATTTCCGTTTATTAATTAATTGAAAGACTAAATGAATTGTGCTTGGTTTGATTCATAACGC